TAAATGACACGACAGCATCGGCATTGGGCTATGGTATAACGAAGATGGATTTGCCGGAGGATAAGGAAAAGCCACGATATGTTGTGATAGTCGATATTGGACATTCCAACTACGGTGTGTCGATCGTGGCCTTCAGTAAAGGCCAACTTTGCGTGAAGGCTACCGCGTATGATCGTCATTTTGGCGGACGCAATTTCGATCAAGTGCTAGTTGATTACTTTACCGATGTGTGTAAAGAAAAGTACAAAATTGATATTAAATCTAATCAAAAAGCATTGTTTCGGCTTCGCACGGGATGTGAAAAAGTGAAGAAAGTATTGTCGGCGAATCAACAGGCTCCCCTTAATGTGGAGAATCTCATGAATGATATCGACGTCAGCTCAATGATAAAACGAGATGAATTCGAAAGATTAGCCTCACATCTTTTAGATCGTGTGCATGCGCCATTAGAACAAGCCCTTAAAGAATCGGGCCTCACGAAGGAAGATATTCATTCTGTTGAGATGGTGGGTGGCTCGTCACGTATACCCGCAGTAAAAGAGCGCATATCCCAATTCTTTGGTAAAGAATTGAATTTCACGCTCAATCAAGACGAGGCCATTGCGCGAGGTTGTGCTTTCCAATGTGCGATTCTTTCGCCGGTATTTAAAGTGCGAGATTTCAATATTCAGGATGTTTACAGTTACCCGATTAAAGTCAGTTGGGAAAATATCCCAGAAATTCCTGATGAGGAAGCTGAGCTTCTCGTGTTCCCGAAATTAAATAGTATACCTTCCACCAAAATATTAACTTTCCACCGTAAAAAGCCATTTGATATAGAAGCCCATTATGCTGATCCTGACTTAATCCCTCCAGGAATTAATACGTGGATCGGAAGATTTTCTATTAAAAATGTTGAACCCACAGAAAATGATGACTTGAGTATAGTAAAAGTAAAAGCAAGACTTAATCTTCACGGCGTTCTTTCGGTGGATGTCGCGACTGTTGTCGAAGAAGTGGTTAAAGAAGAAAAGGAAGAAGTAAAGACAGCCGAACCACAAGCTAAACCTAGTGAACCGCAACCCATGGATACTGATCAAACACCTCAAGATCCCGATAATGCCCCTGGCAATGCCACCACCACCAACAACAATAATAATAATACTAATAGCGGCACCAATGAGGAAGCGCCAAAACCTGCAAATGTCAAAAAAGTCAGGAAACTAGTAAAGAAAGCTGATCTACCAGTCGTCTCTGGTACTTCATCCCTCGACAAATCGATCGTCACACTTTATCGAGAGAATGAAGAACAAATGAAAGCAACCGACAAGCTCGTAATTGACACTGAGACACAAAAGAACGCACTTGAAGAATACGTGTATGATATGCGTGGCAAAGTCGAAAGCAGTTATTCTGAATATGTAGATCCCGCCGAAAAAGACACCTTCCTTAATCTTCTCAATGACACAGAGAATTGGCTTTATGGTGACGGAGAAGAAGCCACGAAATCTGTATACGTCTCAAAATTAAATGATTTGAAAAAGTTTGGTGATCCAATTGTCGGGCGATATCGGGAAGCTGAGGAACGTCCGAAAGCCGAAAAACAATTGCGTGACAGTATACAATCATTTATGCTGAATGCTACCAGTAATGAAGAGAGATTTGCTCATATTTCTGATGAAGAGAAGAAGAGTGTGGTCGATAAGGCGACGCAAATCTTACATTGGTTGGATGAAAAGATTGATGCACAGTCGAAGTTGCAGAAATACGAAATTCCCGTTGTGCATGCACATGAAATTCTTAAAGAACGAGATGTAAGTTTTATTTTTTTTTTACTTATCATTTTCATTTATTCTCGTTGCATTCATTAATGATCAATTCTATTATATAAAAAATAAAGGCACTTGTACAATATTGTTCACCGATTATCTTAAGGTAAATATTTTTCAATCTATTATTTTGTATTTTTATATTTTCCCAAATATTGAAATTCATTTGTTTTTGGGTCAGCGATATTGAAATTGATAAAAAAGCAACGAAACCTCACTTATGAGACTTATAATTTTTCATCTTGCTAATCAATCCTTCATATTTTTATTTTGTATCCAGACCTAAACCCAAACCAGAACCCAAACCTGCTGAACCTACGGCACCAGAAACACCAGCTGCTGGAACACAAGGTGCTCAAGGAACGCCACAAGAAACTCCTGCGACATCGCAACCAGAAGCTTCTGCTAGTGAGACTGCAAATAATAATAATAATAATAATAATAATAACAACAACAACAATAATAACAATAACAACAAAAAGGAAACTCCTAAAGGAAGTGATATGGATGTTGATTAATAAGTTAAGGAAAAGGATGTGTCTTATTAAAACATTTTAGTTGTATTGATTGGCTCCCTTTTACTTTAGAGATTATTATTAATATTGTGAGAGATAATGATATTTCCCCTTGATCTTTTATAATTTAAAACACTTTGTTAATACGAGAGGTTTGGTGAATAGCTTTTGACTTAATGAATTCAACTTTGTAATTAAAAATTTGATTAGAGTAATAATAATAATAATAATAATAATAATAATGTATATGGATTAAATTTATTCGGAAAATTTGTTACGCACAAAAGAAAAGCACATTAAATAATATACATAAAATTAATTTTGTTGTTGCAACTCGACTAACACACCACCGCAATCTTTTGGATGCAGAAACACGACTGGCTTCCCGTGGGCACCAATTTTCGGTTCGGGATCAAGAGATCGAACATTTTTCGAGACGAGATCTTTTACTGCGACATTTACATCGTCCACCTATTTTGTTTCGTCATTAATTAGTGTAATAATGTGACTTGTGAAACAGATATATAAAAAGATCACTCACCTCAATACAAACATGGTGAATTCCTCCACTCTTATTCTTGTACAAAAAATTGTGGATCGGTGATCGATCGTTGTATTCCCCAAGCAATTCTATTTTTGTGTTACCTAGACTCACGAATACTGTGTAAACACCATGATCTGGTTGTGGCTAAATAATGATAAAATTACGTAGTAAATTAAACCAATTATGGGAATTTTCCGTTTTTTTAAGGATATAAACATGGGTACCTTTATTTCACTAACTGATTCTGCACCCATGACTTCACGCCAAAATTTTGACGACTTTTCAAGATCAGGAACAGCGATTGCTATATGATTGAGACGGCCCAATTTCCAAACCGGATGATCCTGTTTGTTTAATGAGACGTTAATAGCATCATCATCTTCCTCTTTTAAAAATAAAAAAAATTACTTACCTTTGGCAATCCATCATCATTATTTTTCGTCGTTGATGTGAAATTTCTTTTACCGATATTCGATGACGATAGCGACAAACTTGATGCCATTATATTCACGCCCGTGGCAGTCGCCGCAGTAAAATTTCGCGAAAAAAATTTACATGTGGAAATTCTTCTTGTTCCGCTAATAAAGTCACTAGAAAATTTTCGTAAAAATGACATCTCGCTGTAATTATAAATTATTAGGGATAATACGACGATGGTGATGGCAGGCAGTAGTGTTGAAGAAAGACTTTATATATTTGGAAATTTATAGTCATCATGTGATATGTGTGGATGGGATGATTCATTATCGTTATCTTTTGGAATGATGTAATAATATGGCATGATGTTGAGTCCCAAGAATTATGGAACATGTGATACATATAGTAAACCGCTAAGTCGACTAACGCGGTGTTGGACTCGAAGAAAGATTTTCAATTTTAAGAGGATTTTTTCTTATATTTGTCGAAACAAAGAGGTTTCATCTTTAGAGAGCTATCAACAAAGAATCGAATCCATTTTTAAATCAAAACAATAATTTGCAATCACCTATAGTCAATCATATTTTATACATCAAAGATTTTTTGAAAGAATCAAGAACAAATCTCAATGAAAATAAAAAATAGTCACATCATATTTTATACATCGAGGCTTTTTTGAAAGAATCAAGAACAAATTTCAATGAAAATAAAAAGTCACATCTTCGTATAATCACATTTGTAGTTTTTTTTTAAATCATGCTTATATATATTTTTTATATAAACCTAATAATAAAAAAGAAATTTTATATAATCTGCTTATAAATAAAACGATTTATACTTTTTCCAATTTTAAAAATTTTAAGAGGGTAGAAAAAAGATTTGATATCTCGGCATTCGAGATCAAAAAGTTAGCATAATTGTGATGCGTTACACGTGAGATGATAAAGATATTACGAGATACTGCAATAACTTCGCCTTATTATAAAAATTCACTCTTGATCAGTTACATGAATCTTTATATTATTCAAGTAACATATTCGGTTCCTGACACAAAACCTTAAATTCAAAAAGGTAGAAACCACCTCGGTGTTTAATAGATCCTACCTTTGTTCGTTTTAAGACGCGGCGCATGTTGATCAAGAATTTTTGTGTGTCCATCTATACTTACTTTTAAAGGTACTGCGAAAATGGAAGCAGCAGATGCAGATATGCAAGCGCAAGTACGGCGTGAAAGACGTCGGGAATTACGAAATGAAAATTTGACTGCGTGGAGCTTGGGAAAGCCAGGTATGTTTGTGTCCATGGTTATGTGACATGTGTTTATTGTGGCGTATTGATCGATCTGGTTCGATCTAAAATAAAAAACAAGGCTTTCCCTTATAATTCGCAATTTTCCCAAAGTTGTCTGCAAGAATCATCGTCATTCATCGTCATATCAGCTCGTTTAACTAACAATTTACCGTCTAACTTAATAGATCCAACAAAATTCAAGAATCTCGATTCAAACATTAAGAAAAACACAGGATTCATTAAGAAATGCAAAACACAATTGTCAGCTGAGTATCAAGCGCAATTGCTCAAAGATATAAATACGTTGACGTTGGAAAAGTACATATCTGAGGTGGTAGCTGCTGTTGTCGAAGGTGTGCAACGGTGTAAAATGGCTGCAGATATCTGGGCAGCTGTTGAAGTACGTTTGATTATTTAACTAGATTAAAAAATTTTGGATTCGTTGGCTATTTTAATATTACTATCGTCGTTGTCACTCATGGAATAATTATTTTAACTTAATAAAAGGTAATCTCCGCCTTACACCAACGTTTCCCTGATACATTCACACCATTCTTAACACACACTCTAGCTCGCTCGCTTGTACCGCCCAACAAACAACAACTTGCCGTCCTAACCACCGAACAACGTGAAAAAGAGGAGAACACGCGTATTGCAAAGCAACGCGTGTTGCTTCGAATCGCGGGAGAGTTGTGGCTCATGGGCGTGTTAAGGAATGTCGAGGATGGGATTGCCGCGCTGAATAGTGGCGGGGCTGCGGTCGGCGCCGGGAGTGTTAATGGGGTGAAGGATAATGTCGCAGGATTTGTTAGTAATAATTCGATTGTTAAAGACACGAGAGAAGTGAAAGAGTATAAGAGTTCTGGTGAAGGCTTTTTGTATACGGTTATGAAGGAGTTGGTATGTATCTACTGATATATAGGTTTGCAGTTAGTTTACCGATTTTATTAATAATTTAAACCAATTGTATATAGCTCTCGCATGATAGCAAACATCTTAACCTCCCTTTGGCTGTATCATTCGTAAAAAACTTTGGACCGGAAATTATCGGAACTATGCGTAAACAAAAACGTGATGAAAGTGTCGCTACCACTGAAGCTGCTACAACTTCTGAATCCGCAGACATGGACAAAGCTCCTACCGATGACGTCGCTGTTAACAACGTTATCGAATCAGAGGATAAAAAAGAAACAAAAGATACAATTGTGACACCGGAGCATCAAACCCTTTTCAAGAATTTGCTTGTTGATTACTTTCATGGTGTTGAGTCCCATTTGCTGAAGGATCATGAGGTGTCGATAGCCGAATTATTTATTTATTTTATAATTAAGGGCAGAAATATATATGAGCCATATAGAGGAAGTTGCTCCTTTCGTATTAATAATATCGTATTATTATGTTGTTCAATTAGAAAATCAAAAGACTAGATCATAGTAATCACGAATACTACATCACCAGAGGCGAAATTCCCGATGAAACTAAGCAGAATTACGAAAAGGTTGTGAAAGCTTTTGAGAAGTTCCTACAGAATGCTCAAACGTGAGTGCTATTTATTCCAATTTAGCCGAGTTCCAACATTCTCATGCGTGCATGGATTGAAATAGATGAAAGAAACATTTAATTTTGATGCAAGGTTTTCGTTTTTGTTTGCTTATCTTTTTTAGGTTAGCTGATGCTCTGGACCTCGAAATGATCGATTTGCCCGATGACGCAGGAACCACAAAGATTAGCTCTCTGGTTGTTCGTGAAGGAACATCCGTCAATGAGAAAGAGGTTTTTATATTTCCATAGTTTGGTATGATAGCATTCTATACAAGTCCTTTTACGGCTTAAACAATAATTGGACTGTTAATTACTTTGTTAGGATATTGTGAGCAGTATCTGGGAAGACGAAGATGCACGGAGCTTCTACGAAACTCTTATCGACCTCAAAACACTTGTACCTGGGGTCCTCCTCGAAGCAAAATCCAGCAAAAAAGACGACCTCGAATTAGACAAGGACGAAGTTGCCGGCAGTGGCGACACTGAGAAAGACGATGACGGAAAATCTCTGAATGAGGATCCTAATAAGATTGATGACAATTCTTTGGATCATCGTCGTGCGAGTGTGTCTACTGATGGAGGGCAGAAAGAAGAGATCACGGGCAGTGATAATGGTGCTGATGGAGTAGTAAAAGATGACGAAAATGAAGACGTTGCGACGAAAGATGCCGCTGAGCCAAATAATAATAAGAGCGGCACGTCAGCACAACTTGATTCTCTGTTATCGCGACTTCCGAATCTCGTAAATCGCGATCTTATCGATCAAGCTGCTGTCGATTTCTGTTACTTGAATTCTAAGGCGGCTCGAAAGAAGTTGTTGAAGGTATTTTTATTTAGAAGCCTTTTAAAAGATTATTGTATAGAAGGTGGTTTATTATGAAATAAATAAAGAATTAATTATTTGATGTTAATCATTTAGACTCTAGTTGGCGTCCCTCGTACCAGACTTGACCTTTTGCCTTATTATGCGCGTTTGATTGCTACACTTAATCCTCATTATCCTGATATTACAGCGGCTGTTTTGCAAGCGGTAAATTAAATAATTTTTTTATATAGTCTTATTCGGGTTGCTCTTTGATTATTTGAGCAAATAAGTTGTTAGTTCAATTTATTAATATTTTTAAGTTTATTATATTATTATAATTAGCTTGAAGGCGAATTTCGGTCGTTGCAGCGAAAGAAAACTTTGGATTTGCTTGAAACTAAAGTCAAGGTACCGACCGATTGATCGATTCTTATAAGAAAAATATATATCTTAATACATTTATGTTATTTTAAATCTTCTCACCAACTAAAAAATACATTTTTACCATCACAAAATAACGTGTAAATACGTACTAACTGAACAGAACATCAGATTCCTCTCGGAACTTACCAAATTTCGCATCACCCCACAACACTTGATCTTTCATTGTCTGAAAGTGGTGCTCGACGATTTCTCCAATCAGAATATCGATATCGCGTGTAATCTCTTAGAGACTTGTGGGCGATTCTTGTTTAAGAGTCCAGAGACTAGTGTCAGAATGGGGAACATGGTAAAGTAGCGTGTTATGGAGATATAGCTTGAGAGTATTTTGTTAGATAATCTGATCAATATTGTGAATTTATTGATAATTACTATTGAAGCTGGATATTATGATGAGGAAAAAAAGCGTTCAACATCTTGATAGTCGACAGCTTCTGATGGTCGAAAATGCTTATTATCAGGTAACAAATATATTTGATGAAAATATATATCTAATGGCTTCTATTTACATTAGTACATTAAGGCTTATTAACACCTAAAATTTTTTGAATGCAGTGTAACCCCCCAGACCACACGGCCATAGTGCTTAAAGAACGATCGATCATGGAGCAATATATTCGTAAACTGATCTATACCGATCTCAATAAAAAAACTGTCGAAAAGGTGCTGAAGTTGTTGCGGAAATTGAACTGGGAGGATAAAGAGGTTTACAAAATCCTCGAAAAATGTTTCTCCAAAGTTTGGAAAATCAAATACAGCAATATCCATTTGATGGCGATTCTCGTCTCGGGATTGCATAGGTATCATTCGGATTTCGGTGTTGCACTGGTGGATCGTGTTCTTGAGGACATTCGGATTGGACTTGAAGTAATTGTTATTTTATATTCATAATATTATATAAATACATTTATTATTATTATAATCATTATTATGACTTTGGAAGAAAAATTTATCGAGTATTAATTATTAATTTTTGCCATTGATAGCAAAATATTTTTAAGCACAATCAACGTCGCATTGCCACAGTCAAGTATCTCGGTGAACTTTACAACTACCGAATGGTGGATTCGCCTGTGATTTTTGATACATTGTATACGATAGTTACCCTTGGTCATGGTAACAATAACTGTAGTTTTTTTATATTAAAGAAAATGGCTACAAAAATGATACCAATAATAATAATAATCATTCTTATAGAATTTGGCAGACCTAATCCATCGCGCATCAGTTTTCTTGACGCGCCCAATGATTTTTTTCGTGTAAGACTTTGTTGTACATTACTAGACACTTGTGGAGTTTGTTTTGATCGTGGAACTGCCAAAAAGAGATTAGATGATTTCTTGGTGTTCTTTCAGGTGCTTATTCTGACTGCCTGTCTCTTATCGAAGCTCAATCATTGTCACTTATGCATATGCTTAAACCATTTTATTTATACATTTTCTATTTTTATGATGTTTAGATGTATATCTTGTCGAAGCATCCGCTTCCAATGGACGTAGAATTTATGGTTTCTGACATCTTTGAGGTAATAACTACCTGAGTTTTGTTGTTTTGCTTGTTTGCCAATGATGCTAAACTTTTAATTAATTTCTGTGTAGTTACTGCGACCCTCGATGATCAGATACAAGACTTACGAAGAGGCTGCTGAAGAAGTCGATCAAAGACTAATCTTGAACCAAAAAGCCGTGCAAACAAGCGAAGAAGTTGCGAAAAACCAAGAAGAAGCTTTGGAAGAGAGTGATGCAGCATCCTCCTCTTCGGAAGAAGATGATGATGAATTCAGGGATGAGATGGAGCGCGAGCCCGGCGAAGAAGAAGAGGATGATGAGGATGTATGCGTTTAATAAACGGATCAAATTTTTTTATTATTTTAGAATTTGCAAAAGTCAGATTAATAAGTAGATTTCTATAACGCAGGCCGAAACTGACGTTTTAGAAAGCCACGACCATGAAGAAGAGGAAGTCATCGTGCACACCAATCGACAAGATAAAGTCTCGACTTCTGAAGACGAGGATTTTGAACGCGAGTTTAGCAAGATGATGACCGAGAGTTTGGAGTCGCGTAAATATGAAAGAAAACCGGCGATGTTGGATGTTGCTATACCGATGCATCTTAAAGGCACCGAAAGGTCTTCAGAGTTTGTGGATGGGAATGTGTCGTTTACGCTGCTAACCAAAAAAGGGAATAAGCAACAGGTAAATATTATTCTTAATCTGTTATTATCTATGCAGATTACAACCTATTAGTAACTAATAATGCTGGATAAATTATAAGATGAAAACCATGGAAGTACCAGCCGATAGCGCACTCGCCGTGAACACGCGTTCAAAACAAGAAGCAGAGCGTGAAGAACAAGCACAGCTCAAAAAATTGGTACTCAATTACGAGGAACGTGAAGAACAAAATCAGCGTGTTGCGCTTGAGCAATCGTTGATTAGTAGTGGGATGCGTGTCAGTTATCAGACTGGTAATCGACGACAAAGTCAACGTGGTAAAAAGCTTATGCAGAGTCAGGGTGGAGGCGGTGGTGGGAATGCCGGTTATTCTTTTGCTAATGACAGGTTTGTGTTTTTATTCGTTTCATCATTGCTGTTATTGTCACTGTTATTCTTATTATTAATATATTTATTATTATATAGTATATAGTATTTTCTGAACTACATTAATTAATTTTTAGACGTAAATAATCACTTGCTAGGATCTGCTTCATTATATACAGATTACAACAATAACGACAAGATCCATCAACACACACACTTGACTGACTGAATAGCATAAACAATAGTACTAAATGAAAGAAACTATACATCCACGTCGGAGTTTTATTTAGCGCAGAAAAAAAGGATTCCGAGAAACTTTAACATAAGTCGTCGTCATCTTCATTTAAAGAAGTCACACCTCGAAATCTTTGCGTTATACATTCGAAGGATTCTGAAAGCAAATACATTCGTACCCACCACTCACAAATGTTATCTAAAAGTTGATACCTAAAAAGGTTGAGGTTCATTCTGGAAAAGATGTCAGCAATAGTTGTTTGTTGTAGTAAAGTATATAGTAAGTTAATTTGTAACACTTGTTGTAATATTATGTTTTACTTCTCAATTTATACCAAAGTTCAGCCGAATTATACTGGGTTGACAACCACACAACAAAATCTATGAATTTATCTAGTAATAGTAAGCATATGAGTATCATCATCATCATTTCTTTCGGTATGGATGATGGTAATTATTTTCAAGATGTACAAATACCTACAAAAACACAACATTTATGTATCAAGTAAGATTTGTTAATATTTACTTTTTATTAAGAATTGAAGAAAATTATATACATTAATAAAACAAATTAGTTAACCCATCATTCATCACTAACCAATTCAAAAAAACCTTATAATAATGATCACAAATAATTGAAATAATTGGCCCACCCCCGTGTGTTGCTAAGTTCATCTACTATCGTGAAACCAAACTACACAACTCGCCACCACTCGGTGGTAACTGAAACTATCAAAGAATATTGATGAAACTGATGTTGCAACGCCTCCCGCTGTTTACATATTATTTATTAGATATTCCTCATCATCCATCATTATCGCAAATTCGATCTCTTTTTCTTCGTTGTCGACATCATCGTCATCAATCATCATATCGTTGCAATCATTATACGTCATTGTCGTCGCCGTTGCTTCTTGTTGGTCATACATTACTGATTCTTTAAAGTTACATATTAGCGTATGAAAAGAACAGACAAACAAGACCAGAGAATCTTATGACAATACCGAGATTCAAATATCGTTCATTACCTTGAGCAATTTCCTGTAATAATTCTTCGTAATCTTCTGGATCATACCATAAATTGTGCAAAGCATGCTGCTTTTGGAACTGCATCCACATTTCTTGTATCGACTAGATACAAATTAATAGCATAAAACAAGACGCGCTTCTAATAAGATTACTATGAGAAGTAATATATTAATACACACTTGTTCCGCGTCCACCACTCCCTGAATTTCAGACAACCCCCGTCGCCGTTGACTAACTGTCAAATCTCTTGACGCCTTAATGCGTTCAGCACACTCTTTTTTAAATCTATTACGCCACTCCTGATGTTTCGTGGTCTGTCCCCCGGCTTTACTACTGTCAATACTACCAAACTTTTTGCCGTTGAAGCGTTGGTGGTGGTTAATAGCCGGTTTCACGATATTTGTGTATCGGCTGCTTATTCTGCTTTGAGCGCTATCGCATAATAAAGATGACGAAGGGGTTGGTAGCTGAGCAACTGAGGTACTCGGCGCGAGTGGTGAATGTATTATCGGAATGTACGTTTTGTTACGGACCGTGTGCATTCTTTCTGAGGAAGAGAAGTAATTTTTTTCTTTGTTATATAGTTGAGTTATATATATATATATATCGTATGCGGAATTGAGAAAGTTGAAGAGGAAAAAGAACGAGACAAAGGTTGAAACTCTTTTATTGACCCGTATTATAGCTCGACTTTATGAGCGTAGAATTAGGCGCGTCGCGTAACACGCATATATAAAATGCGTAGATGCTGTTTGTACTATATCTTTACCCGCAGCAGAAATTGGTGATTGAAAAAAATCTAGGATTTTTCGTGAGAATGAAGAAATTCTCAGAGAACTTTTCTTGGGAGGTTTTTTTTTGGTCCTTTAAAGGCGATTTATGCGATTGCAATCTCTTCTCTTTGCATGATATGCTATTTCTAGAAATAAATCGGAATGTCTAGTATGACGGTATGATATAGGTTTGATAAATTCTAATTCTGAAATTGATGATTTTGTCATCCCCTCGAGGATCATAGAACAAAAATGAAAAACGCACATCAGAATCTGTGCCAGGTTTTGTTGATCATTAGTCGGATGTGGTGTCCGATCATCAGCCCGGATTATTAGCCGCACTCACTAATTTTGTATATATGTATATATTGGCCAATCGTTTTTCAGCATAAAATTAAACACGAGAAATGGTAAGTGTTCATTAAGGTCATATTGAATAATGTATTGTTTGTGAGGTTAAGAACGTTTAAAGCGCCACTCAATGTCACGTTCTTGTCAAGGAATGTTACCACAATACTCGCTCAACACACTTCAAGCCAAAATAAGTGAATCTCATAATGGCTCGTGCAATATGGCAGTACCAAAACCATTTCTGAATTTGCCAGGTTATGGTTAATAATGTCGAATTGGCAAAAAGGGAGGGGGATTATTAGTTTAGAGATGCTAAATAGAAATCTATACATTTGTATTGATCAATTGTAAAATAATTAATGCCATTATTAATGAAAAGATCTTTGTTAACGAAGAGATCATTGTTAATGAAGATATAATTAATCAGATTAATTATTAAACAATTAAGTATGCAAACAATTCGTTCTACATATTTACAAATGAACTATTTTAATGAGACAATAGTCAAACAATAATAATAAGAAGCCAATACAAAATCCAATATATTATATAAATCCATTAATTCAATTGATTTTTATCAATATTTTGACCTAGATTATGTTCTTTTTTGTTAACTTCCATGCTAAAATAGCAAATAAATCACTATTTTCTTTTTCCATATAACCAGAAAGTCTTCTTTTTATACTGCTAAATCCTGCTGTTTTTTGCCATTTTACTGATTCAACCTGTATGTGAATTTTTGCACCACTTTTAATATAAGCATGAGAATCAATATCATGATCAATATTATAGAGAAAAGATATTAATCATAAATTGAATATGGCTTTTGCTATATTGTATCACTTAGTGAACTTATTAAGAGTAATAGAAAGATTTGGATCATTATTCTTGTAATTGTTTTTAATTATCTTGATAAATAATTCAAAAGATGCAAAATTATCTTCATGTATTATATCGAATCTAATTAAAAAAAATAGTTAATTAAAATAATAAATAAAAAATAAACTTAAAGTAAACATATTTATCCTTTAAAGCTATCTTATTAGATTGCAACTTTTGAATAATATCATAAGAGTTTTGGATATCATAAGAATTTTGAACTTTATGAGAATTTTAGACTTCATAAGAGTTTTGGACTTCATAAGAGTTTTGGACTTTATTTTGAATTTTTTTGAACTTCATTTTAGATTTTGTGAGAGATAATTAGATTTAAATTATAGTTGATAAAATATGCATATATAATAGTACATAAAAAAATAATCTCAAAAATAATCCCTAAAAAATTATTAAGTTAGATAAAAATAAAAAAACTAAACATATTATATTAAGAATGTAATGATACATAAAAGTAATTTTCAGAAATAATCCCTAAAAAAAGTATTAGATTTAGATAAATAAAAGAAAAAAAGTAACTAGAACTTATTATATATAATATACTGTTATAATATGAACTTTTATAGAATATTAGTTAATTTTATTATTGATCACTTCACAATATGATTGGATAAATAATTCTTTATATCTTATTGGATATTAGCTTTAGAGAATATTATTTATAGATATTTTTAGAAGGTTTTGCAAATATGATGATCATGACAAAATTATTATAGCAAAGTTAGCAAAACTATAATAGCAAAACTAATAATACTATCATAACAAAATCAACATTATGATACTAGTTAAAGTAATATTTAGATCATAGCAAAACTAGCATAAGTATCATAACAAAAGTATCATTTGTATAACCTTTAAAATATATAAAAGTGATATATCTTATCTAGTAAATTTAGACAGTTAATAAGATAATTAATAAGTATAGCTCAATTTATTAATTAATTATTTAGTTTAGTTTAAGTTTTATGAGTTTAGTTCTTAATACGTATTTTAATAGATTATAGTTTTAGGAGAATTCTAAGAAATCTCTCTTATAGAATAAATCTTGATTAAGATCTATTATTTCATCTTGTTAATAAACTAAATATTATATTTATCTTGAAATTATATTTTGGAATTGGACTATATTCTAACTAGTTACAACAAGAATACTATTATTACTTATCTTTAGATAAATAATAGTATTTATATTCTTATTGATAAATTTTTTAAAAACTCTCACAAATATTATTATAAACACATGATCACTTTTATCACGTACTTTTATAATATTAAGTTAAATACTCATTCCTATTTCAGAACTCACATCAAAAAGATAATAACTTTTTGATACTCTCTCTGTGAAAAAACAATTTCATAGGGTTATCAAATTCAAGTCAGATTAGATAAAGAATCCTCTATGGATTAAATTAAAATTAGTAGAGAATTAAAAGCAATTGAAGAAATAATTTTACAACATATCTAAAAATAAATTCAACTAAAGAAATCAAAGTAGAAAGAGAAAGACTCTTCACTTAATTATTTACAGAATTACATCTTGAAAACTATACTAAATCTAACTAACAAGTTATCTGAAATAAATTCTATTATTTTCATCAAGAAATAATATATGGTGAAACTCAAATCAAGACAAGAGAAGAATTTGCAATCTTAATAGAAGAAGAAACTGATCTATTAATAAAACAAATACAAATATATCTTTATAAATTATAACAAGAAATATTCAAATTTAAAGATAAAAGAATCAAATATCTAACAGAATATAGACAAAAAAAGTAGCAAGACATATCTGTAAAAATATCTAATCCAAGTCAGTCAAAATCAAATAAAGAATTAATAGATATCTTACAACAGTTTGAAAAATACAATTCAGATAATCTTGAATAAATATTAGCGTAATTATCACTTAATAAATATCTAGAAATACAGCTAATCTCTCAAGATATACTTATTACTTCAACTTTTATTTCTACAATATTATTTGAAGAAGAAATAAGTAGAGACAAGAAAAATAAAATATCATCTTCATCAACTACTAATAATAGATTTAAAGATTTAATATATAGAATTAGAGCACTTGCTACAATGTTAGGAAGACCAAAGAAAGTCAATTATATCAAAATTATAGAATTCTATAGTGATACCCAAGATCTAATTGGTTAGCTTCAAGACTTTGAAAATACTTGTATTACTAATAGTATTAGTAATGACTGAAAAATTCAGATAGTAGGAGCTTATTTGAAAGATTTAGCAGTCATATGATATACTAATAAAAAATTATATGATCCAGAATAGCCAGAAATCTGGAGTTATGCTGATGACACTAATCAGAATGCAAAAGAAGTTTCATTCATATATTAATTTGAAAAGCACTTTAGAAATTATGACTGTCTATATAAATAATAATAATAACTAAAATAAAGAAAATAATTACCTGATAAAAGCATAGAACAATATGCTGTAGCTATTAGAGAATTAATTAGAAGAGTAAATCCAACCAATACCTATCTAGCTCACTTATATATATCTTACTTTATAGATGAACTTAGATCAGAAATTAAATTCTTTATAAATCTAACTCATCCTACAATATTAGAAGAAGTAATTAATATAGCAACTGCTTATAATTCTAACTTTCAACAATATAATGCTATATCAAATGGTCTATCTTTCTTATTAATATTATCTGCAGATACTGGAATTAACAAATTAGCAGAACAAATTGAAAATATTATTGTCAAATTAGAAAAATTAACAACTGCTAACCAGTTTAATAGCCACTCTAATAATAGAAATAATTCTATTAGATGCAATAACTGTGAAAGATTTAGTTATATTGTAAATGAATATAGAAGTAGAAGAAATAATAATTATAATAATAATAATAACTTCAATAATAATAATAATTTTAACAATAATTTCAATAATAACTTTAACAATAATAATAACTCAAGAAATAATATTACCTGTTATAACTGTGAAGGTACCAGTCATATTGCTAGTAGATATACTAGTCTAAGAAAGAATGAGACTAGTTAGGATAATAATAATCACAATAATAATAATAATAATAGAAGAAATAATAATAATAATAATAATAATAATAAACAGAATACTTACTTGAATACTGAAGAGCATTTAAATTCTTAAATGCACCTTTAGAAAATGAAAGTACATTCACAATTAAAAAGCCTTCAATTAACAATAATCAGCTCAAGAAACTATTAATAGAAAATGAAAAAAAAATCAATAAAGTCAATAAATACCTATAGATATTATGCATGTAAATGGACTTATCAATAATTAATCTTGCAAAATAATAATTGATAGTGATGTGTAAATAATATAGTCACTCAGTAATTCTTGAAGAAAATAAACTGGAAAATTCAAAGATCTAGTACAATAAATCTAATTAGTATTAATAGTCAAAAAGAAAAAGTAATTGGAGAAGTAATTAACTTACCAGTTACTTTAGGAACTGAATCAATCAAAATTAAAGTATTAGTAACTGTGAATAGTGATTA